ATATAAGTACACATGAGGGGATGCCATCGGGTCCAGGCGAACAATTATATTTCAGAGAGTTCAATCCTTCAAAAACGTCATTTTCCGATATAACAAAGTTAGGAATTGAAACCGAATTAGAAATCGAATATGGATAATTTTCCGATAAATCAAAATTGGCAGTTGAAAAGTTCTGTCGGAAGTATTCCGCAAAGAGATTTGAGGATTCAAAATCATCCGAGGACTCGGAGCCATTAAAAGACACAAACGACGGGTTTATGGAGATTTTTCTTTTGGAATTAACGAACTTAAAAAAGTATTTAGGGTTAGCAAACAAGGAGGATTTAACAAACTGAAGGTATCTGCAGTAGTATTGGCGGTTGAGGGAATTAAATTTATGCCTTGCAACAGAGTACGCGAAATAGTCGAAAGAAGAACCACTTTTCGAAAATTTTTTGAACAACTTGTTTTTCCTATTCTTGTAGTATTTAATTAAACACAAAAAATTAAACACAAAACTACATGGACAAACATCAGGTGGACAGACCGACAGACAGACTTACATCGATTTGGAAAATAATGTTCAATCGATTGGTATAACGAAAGCTAAGTCTATCTTAAGTCTTACTGCATGTTATACACGTCCGCACTGCATGTTAACAAAGCCTGTACCACAAGTCGTGTAGGCTATAAAGAAGAAGAAAAATAATCGTTACGTTATTCTATAATATTGCGTTATATTTTTTGCAAATTTGTACAGGTACCGTAAGCTCGCAGATATCAATATCTTCGCGTCTATCCTTGTTTATGAATAAACTTGAAAATGTGAAAAATCTATTTGGTTTTTTATGCTTTATGTTCCATTGTAGGCTTGCCCTTTGAAAAATTTCAGCGATTGCAAATATTAACCTGCTTACAAGAACTTTTAATTTATCCCCCAAATTTCAAGCCAATTCTTGTAATGACGAGAATACTTGCCACATCGACACAAACAGCCGGACAGGCCTGGCCTTCGTTCGTTTAGAACTTCTCATCACTTACCAATAATTTTTTGTTTCTTTCTTAATTTAGGCTTTTTTATTACTTTTTTTTTATGTGACCAGTCCCTTCTCCGTACGTGTCAACATAGTCAATTTGCACGAAGGGAAAAGGAAGGAGTAAAACTACGGACATGATCCTAAAGTCTTCAACATGTAAACCTATTGCATAATTAACTTGCCTTTTGGAATCTCTTTGTAGTCATACAGAAGTCTTTCGAGGTTTCGCTTTTAGTCGTCTTGGGAAACTTCTTATGACTCTCTCCTCGTAGTTCTTTACCGCCCTCTACTGGATTCCAAAGTCATGATTTGTGTCACATTCGCTAGGCCACAGTGCTCATGTGTTTTCTCTCCTCGTCCTATATGTAATATTTATATACGCATATATATATATATATATATATATTTGCTATTATAAACGCTGCAATGAGCAGAATAATAGTTAACCCTTTCTTCTAATACTTTCTCGAAAGTATTAAGTTTAAAGCGTAGATAAACTTCCCGGCTAGCTTCATGTATGTTGATGTCAGCTCTTAAGCACTAGAAATTAAAATCCTTTCGTATTTGCCGCCTTCGCAATCTGATACTTTCTCAAGTGCAGCTCGATTGGTTTCCATATTAGTAGGTCAGAGCAACTTGTAACAAAATTTTGACAAAAAAAAAAAAAAATAAAAATAAAAATAAAAACATGGACTACACTACGTTTGCAAATATTAGATAAACAGTAGTGACGTTATCTTTAATAGAATATTGTAATCGAGTTTGTTACATTCTTTCCACATACAAATATATAATCATACATACAAACATAACTAGAGCGTAACATAATCTTGATTATGCACATATTTTATTTAGAAACAACAATGAATATACTGTACTTTGTTTATACATACATACATACATATGTATACATACATATATATCTACATATATATATTTATATATATATATATATATATATTTATTTTTTTTCTTTTTCGAAAAATCAGATAGTTATTGACATTTATGTCATTATTATGACATTTACGCCAGGAACAAAAGAGAACAAAAACACTTTATTGTTAGCTACCCTATAAGGCTCCATGGAAATGTGGTCGGTGGCCTTTGTGTAATATGATCGAAAAAGCTATTTAAGATTTTGAAATGTATCTATGTATTTAAAACAAAAAGAAAAAAAAAACTCTAAAAAACACGTAGTGTGTTTTTTTTGTTCTTAATAAACTGTAAAAAAAAACAAAACAAATAGTTGAAGATTTCTTAAGAATTAACGACCGTCATAACAGCGTTCTGAGTAGTTGGCAGTAAAAAATCGAATGATTTTTTCTTCCTCCATAATAAATAAACACATGTAACAAGCAACGGCTTTTTTCAAAACGTATATACCGAAGGCTGACCTCAGCTTTTCGCTGCTCTTAATTGTTAAGCTGCACTTGTGAAGCATCCATTCTGAGACGACATATACTTCTAGAAGAAATGAAGATCGAAGAAGAAGGAATTTCTTGACACTGTGCTTGGATTCCTAGTCTAAATTCGCTAGGAAGGATTCAAAGGAATTCCTTGACATTTTGCTTGCAACCATCAACGTTTACCTCGCCTGAATTTTTAAACCCGTGAGAAGAATGAAAGTACACTAGCACTGTAGAATTTACTGACATGCAACCAGTTAGGTAGGTAGCTACTATTGAATTTCGTGTCAACCGTGTAATAGTGAATAAATTTGAGATAAAACTTTTGTTTATACACTGACATGAAATCTAGACAAAGAGTCACCAGTGCTGCCAATAGGCTGCAGCATAGATTATTATGAGTAATTTTGAATGAAAGCAGGTTAATTAGCTGAAGTTAATACCGCTTATCCATCGGTCCACAGTAAAAAAAGTTTGATGCAAACATTTGCGTTAGAATAGCAAGCATTGAATGAATGATGTTGAAGTTCCAAGCGTTCTGATGCGTTGTCTTCGGCATAATTATCTTCGACCAAAGCATGCTCCACCCCGGGTCCCTTAAGACATATTTTGAGTTAACTAATAACGGTTTTGTGTAATAAAATTCGTCGAATATATTTAGTATTCAAGCAAGTTGCTTAATTTCGTTTTACTATATTCTACTTAGGAGCCCGCTTTACCTAATATGCTTGCTATTATACTCATTTAGCAGAAGGCTTAACATAATCTAGTTTTATTTTTTTTATTTGCAAAAAAAAAAAACAGTAACAAGTGATGAATAAAATATTCGCTTCAAGCTGATAATAATTTCTTTCGTATTGTTTTCTTTTTTTTTGTTTTTTTTTTTTTAATTTTCTTGTCTCTTTTTTTCCATTTAGCATTTTCAAGTAAACAAAAGAATTTTTTGTTAATTTTTGTAGCTTTCCCACGCTTCAGTAATAAAGTAACAGCGAAAAACACTGAATTCCGCATTAAAAAAAAAAAAAAAAACAAATAGAATAAAAAGGCAAAACGTATTATTTCCCTATCAAAAAAAAAAAAAAAAAAGACAGAGGCAGAGGCAGAGAGTCGTCGGTTTAAGACGAATCTTAAATTCTTTCCATTTAAATTTTAAGATTTTTTTTATTGCTTATAAAAATTTATCATTTCCTTGATGGTAACTTTTTTTAATTTGCACTTTGGTCATCAATAATTGCTTCAAACATCGATTTCGTTGCGTGTCAGTAGCAATTCGCTAATAATGAGGCACCCAATTACATCGAGTTTAAACCTTATCCAAGTCTTACGCAAGTGATTTAAAACTAATTTGTTTGTTTAACATTCATTCATCATGGCTGCCTGTGGTGTGTCTGACCGCTTCGATGTTAAAGGCTTGCAGCATTTCATCATCATTTTGTTGCAAGTGAAATGATTCTTTTGAGGAAAGCGAACAAACCATAGACATGCCTGCGTTGCATTAGATAAATCGACCGTAAACATGACATGCATTTTATTGTCAAGGTTGCCCAGCGCTTTCGGATTTTATCTATCAAATGGCCATATATGGCAATATTACGGACTATGGAAATTCACCTTTTGCCCCTATTTCAGGATAACGGTTACGGGCATAATAGATTCGGTCACAGCCGTATATAGTTTTCTTTTTGCTTTTGTTTATTATTGAACGGTTTTTTTTTTTTGTAGACAAATAGTTACAAAATATTAAATAAAAATGTTTAGAAAAATTCGACGTAAATTTCAACAGTCATTGGCGCAATTCTTTCTTTCTCTATATAATAAATTTCCTCAGACGTATGTTTTTTTAATCATGATCTTAGCGTCAAACCGAATTCATATATAAAGATCTGATTAAATTTTTGAAAAGTCTTTTAAGAATCGAGTAAATACCGTAGCATATCATTGATATGCATTTTACATAGACATTTGCCCATTGAAAAACCTAATCTTTGATAAATCCATTCCAAGTTACGCCAGCGCAACGAATCAAAGACGCATTGGCAAACCAGGCACGCTTATCTATTTCAGGGACAATCTTTTTTTTACAATATTTTCATATTCCCCTTCTGCGTACCGTAAATGCCTTTATAAGTACAGTCCAACCTGTTTTTATGCGGTAGAGAGGGACCGCATAAAAAAAGTCTCACTTAGAAAATATGTCAAAGCTTCACGAAATCGCAAGAAAGTGCTTTCCAAACAAAATAAATAATTAAATTACACATTGAAACATTTAAAAAAATTTTAATTTCTAATTTTAAACAAGGAGAAATTTTCAAAATGTACACAATTCAATACTACTCGTCGTAGTTCAAAACGCGCATATTTTTGCGATGAACTGGTTCGTAATCGCTTTCGTCACTTGAAGATACTACAGTTGATTTATTTTTTGTTAACATGTGGGCGGTGATAAGTTTTTGCGACGACGGTCGTTTGGTCAGCTGTTTGTAAACGTCGCGATAGCCAGATATACACAATCGAAGCTCTTTTTGGAATTTCAAACTTCTTTGAGAATTGTTATCTATTTTAAGAAAATGCTTTTCCAATTTGCTGCAAAGTTTTATCCCTGCATATATTTTATCCGCTGTAATAGATTCCGGTTCTTCTTGTCCGTTTTCATGATCTGAAAGTTATTTTCATATAGTGTTTCTTAAAAGTTGCGATTATGCCCTGGTCCAATGGTTGTATAAGGCTAGTCGTATTGGGTGGTAAAAACACTACTTGTACATTAGGATGCTCTAAACAAGGATGACCGGGTGCATTGTCAACAATTAACAACACTTTAAAAGGAACACCCATTTCTGTCATATATTTTTCAACTTCTGGTACGAAGCAATCGTTGAACCATGTTGTAAAAACAGCTGATGTGACCCATGCTATTTTATTGCCCATGAAATGCACTGGGAGTTCAGCTAAATTTATATCTTTTAGCGCGTGGGTGCAAAGCTTTATTTATAAGAAGTGGTTTTAACATACTGATAGCGAAATTCAATGTGTCGATATTCATATACCGCACAAAAAAAGAATCGCACAAAAAAAAGAATCGCACAAAAAGAATCGCACAAAAAAGAACGCATAAAAAACACCGCACAAAAACAGGTTGGACTGTACAGTCAAAATCAAAAATTTGTACTTTCTTGCTGAGAGAGATATTCCTCTCATCACTCCTCTAATCATTTGTTATCAAATTTCTATTTCTATCTTTGGATTATTAGATAGTAGTTACAACTCAAGAAACGCTAACCGTCCTCATATGTGTGGAATATGCTTTCCAAAAGGGAGAGTTAATAACACTGACCTTAAAAATTCAATATAACAAAAAAAATACATAGAATATCTATGACATAATAATTTAAATATAATTAAAATTAACTAATGAGTTCATTAATTAAAAAATAAATAAAAAATTTGATAATTAAAAATTAGCAAATTTTTTAAATTGATCTCGATTCGATGGCGATAATACCATTAATTTGTTATCTAAAAAAAAAAAAGAAAGGCCGAAAAACCGCATTTTTATCTGAAAAATTGAAAAATTATTTAAAATATTTAAAATAAATTAAACTTTGTCCCAAAAATATGCATTAATGAATACATCTATCATATGTGTTTCCATGTATTGAACAATGAAGATTTTATCGAAATGACAAACGAATTTAATAGCTTTAAACGAGGACAAATTTTTGGCCGTTTCAAAGCCATTCACAAAAATAGATAACAAGATCAAGCTAATGCCGTCCATTATAATATGTCGCTAATATGCTTCCCCAAGAAATCCGGCAATCTTTCCATGAGTAAGGTGGAAGGAGTGGACCAATGTGGTTTAAATTTCTTTCATTTAATTTTTATGTCAAGTTCACATGTCCTACGAAACCTTATATGCGGTAATATCCAAAAAAAATAGATGTACGTGGTCCAAGTTGACTGCTTTGTTAATATAATATTATGAATCAATTTTCAGCATGAGCTATGGACAAATGCCAAAGCCGACGACGAACACTGTTACACAACAAAATTTAACACATTGCAAATTTCTCCCATATTCCGACTTTTGAAAATAAGGTGTTACTGGGTCGATTGGAATCATTTTCAATAGCACTCCTCTTCGGGTTAAAGCACGTCATGGGACTAAATATCATCAAAATATCGTAAAAATTTCGATCTGCAGGTGGAATCCAAATTGAAAAGGATAGACATCAGGTGGACAGACAGACTTCAAGCTGAATCGATCGGTATAATGAAAGTTGCGTCCATGGTAATCCCTTTTGGGTGTTGTATAAGTCCGCGAAAACTTAATATAATCTGTACCACTAATGGTGTAAGGTGTAAGAACGTAATTATAATGTAGTGATAAGAATTTCTTGTTGTTTTTGTTATAAATACACGAAATGAAATCATCGGCTTTTAACTTAAAAATTTATTACTAAACCTCTGACAAAAGAGAAATAAAAAAAAAAATAAGAATTGGGTCAATTTTTACTTAAGAATTTTGTACGAGTTGAGTAAGAGTTAAATTTTCAAAACTTTCTTTTTATACCCATCACCCGAAGGATGGGGAGTATATTCATTTTGTTGAAGCGTTTGCAACGCCCAGAACGAAGCATCAGGGATCCTATAAGGTATATATATTCCTGATCAGCATCAAATTTTAACTAGAGTTAAGCATATATGTCTGTCCGTCTGCGTTAATGTCTGTTGTGAACATTCTCCTGGTCGTAAAAACGAAGCTATCGATTTTAAATTTGGCGGAAACATTGGAAGCTCTTGCACGCAAATAGGACAAATTAAGAACCCCGTAAAGTATATAAGTTCTTGGCCACTTTCAAATTGGAAAAGCACCAAAGCATGTCCGCCTGTCCATCTGTCCGTCTGCCCAACTGTATAGTGTTTGTGGTAAACATTATTTGCAAAAGAATTTGGAGATGATCGAAACTTTGCCAAGAACAGGCCTACAACGCTCACCCAACTTGTGCGACAAAAAACTTTTATTTTGAAAATAATCCAAGCGATATTATAAAGCATGGACAATTGTTGTTCCAAGTTGTTCCAATTGTTTTGTTTTTTGTTTACCTTATTTAGGACACCAGCGATGGGTATAAAAAATTCGGTCACGACCGAATATGACTTTCTTACTTGTTTTTATTTTCTTGTTCTTCCTGCACTGATATCAATTTATATATCGTTTTCATATTGTATGCTCGCAGCATAATTGTATTCTGATATTTTTTTATTGATAAACACGATCAATTACCAATTACCAATTACGTGTAGCCCTCGATGCACGCGGTATTTCTTCAATGCCTCTAAAATCATTCAAATTAAAATGCTAAACACGCTGAAGCTAATTTCATTTTAAATGCAATCAAAAGAGGAAAGTTGCATAACATCTTATGGAAGGAAGTAAAGAAGAGTAACAACTTATAAAATCATGATGACAATAATTAAAAGTTTTAATTACATTTTTATTTTATACTTACGTGAGCGTTGAGATTAATTTTTTTTGTTATGTTTTTTCTACTCATTAAAATTTTAAAGTTCCTCTACATTTGTCGCCAAAAAAAAAAAGACCTTGCCCCGTAAAATTAATTCAAGGTGTAGTTTATATCAATTTCTTCTTGTTTGTTTCTTTTGCTTTTAAGGACATAAAACCGCAATGGACAAGAAGCATTGACATATTTTTTTGTGATTTTGATTACAAATACATTGAATGATGTTTTTTTGAAGGGAGTACGAGCGCATGTCAATCTTCTTATTCGTTATGTAACATCGTAGCAATGATCAATAATTATGCTCCTACACAGAATATATATATATATATATATATTCTTGAAACTGAAGCTGAGTGAGGACAAATAATCATATCTGTCTGTCCATCCTTCCGTGATATGGCTTTTTTACATCATTCGCACCTACCATGCGTGTAGCATCTCTTGATTGAAAGAAAGAGAGGCAAGCAATCAATTCGAAGCACAATTGAAAAGCAGCGCGTCCAGCTGGTATGTCCCTGTCGCTTCTGGCAGGCTACCGCCTGTTGCAAAAGCCCACTCAAATGTTCACCATTAATATTTTTATGACGAGTTGAAATGTCAAAAGAATGACGTATGACGAGTACATCTAAATTTAATTGAAATGCATTTTTTTTTAGCGTATGTACCGAAATTTACATTTAAATCGAAATGTAAGTTCCGTTATTATGTCACACTTGAAGTGTTGTAATGCTGCTAAAATTATTTTTGCTTATAATTGCTTATAATAATAATTTTTTTCATCTATTCAATCATTAAACGTTGTGACTAATGCGTTTGCACATAGCGTACCAGTATAATCAGGCACAATGTATATATGAATAAATACGCAAACATTCATACCGTCCGTCAATTTATTATTTTAATTAGCCGGAGAAGTAAAGACTAGCAGATAAAGGAAAAAAAAAAAGTTAGCAGCAATATGTTTAAAGAGTGAACCGCGTGCATATATAAAAACTTTTTAATCGCTTTGCGATTTTTTTTTTTTTTTTTTTTTTTATTTTCTTTTTATTTTCTTTATCAAATTTACAAAAACCTGCGTTTTAAGTAGAAAGGAATGTCATTATCGACACCTGAAATTATAGACAGGCACGTTTTATCTAAAGTGAAAAGTTCCAGGAGGTGCCAGTTGTTAGCTGCCTGAGACAAACATTCGCACAAATTTAAGATGATATTGAATTCATTCCTATATCGGTTATCTCCCGTTACATGCATCTAAATAAATTCAATTAATTATGCTTTTTAATAGTAAAGAAAAAGAAGAAGACTTTGCCGATAGCAAATATTCTCTGTACCGAAGTTCATGTCTGCTCTGTCGAGCAGTGATGCGTAGCTTTGCACGCACCACTACTTTATGCTCTGTAAACAGGCAAGTTGACGCTAGTTTCGACTTTTGGCACTGATGCATATGTTCTGTTTACTCGGATAAAAGAAAATCCGGCTGCCACACAACCGCGCTTAATAGGTTCACGAGTAAAGTAAGAGTGAGAGAACCTAACATCATTTCTTCCAAGATGTGACTGAATGAATCGCGGTACCTAGGGACAAAGTTTGGCATGAAGATGGGATGGCTTTAAAGAAAAGCTCGTAAAGCTGATAGAGTTTATCTTATACATGAAATATGATTTGCGCTCTTCAAGAATATTAAGCTCAAGAATGAAATCAATTTCTGCCAGTTCCGTGACTTTCTGTCTCACATACCGTTTATATTATTATATATTAAACGCATCGGATAGCTACGTACGCTCTGACCGGAAAATGAATGCAAAGCAGCCTTTTGTGTTTGAATACCAGTTTCTGTGTTTACTTTTTCTTTATTTTTTTTTTTTTTTTTTTTTAATCCATTCCTAATGACATGCGGATGTTTTACATCAATATTGTACGCAATTGTATGTTCGTATGTAAGTATTAATCTATTCCATTGTTGTTTATTAAACTGAGTACGGAAATTTAAAAACTTATACATATCCATAAACACCATAACTTCCCTTGTCGCTCTATTCGCAATTTTTGTATGTTAATCAAAAACATATATAGCAGAGATGAGGGCTCTCCGTCACTATTTCTGCGTGGCAAACACGCAGTAAAATTTGTTTATTTATTTATTTTTTTTTCTTGCTTCCGCTGATGGGCATATTTATTGTAGAGCATAAATTTATGTTAATCAAGTAGCAAAACTGTATTAAGGTACTTCGACCTTTCTTTGTTGATAGGTATAATTTAATGTGCACGGTATTCGATTCATCCCTGATCGAAGGGAAAATTTCGCGTCTGAACTGAACTGAAAACGTATCCCGTAGTTTTTTTTACAAAATTGATTCGATAGATGAAATGCAAAATGGGTTAACATGACGGCAGCACGCAACCGATAGAATGTGGGGAATGATAAAGCCAGATCATTAACGTAACGTAAGACATAGCTAGTCTTAGGCTAAACGCATATTTCTTATTCCCATACCAATTAC